GACCACACCAAACCCGACCAAACTCATCATTTTGGGATGCAATTGTTACTTTGGGAAATTAGTCAAGTTGAAATAGAAGCGAAGAGAACAAAAAAGTGTGTTATTTTATATTTATTAAAAAAAAATTAAACCACAACAGGTTAAGGTTCTATTTTTGAACATAGAGTGGACGCTCTCACTAGCAACCCCAAATAAAATGGAAGCTCAGGTAGTTTGTAGTTCCTCCTCGCCTCCAACCACGTCGCTTTCATGTTAAATGATGCAGCTGGATGCAGGAGGAACACATTTTGTAGGAGGTCAAACTTCCTGAAGCATTCTCTGTCACTTGTTAAGCTATTGCTTCAATCAACTTCATATACCATGACCACTGAGTGGACTTCCACATCAAGGAGGTGATGTCCCGTTAATAGATCCTTGATATGTCTCGTGCTCTCACCTGGAGGACGGCAGCAGTCTCCGGCTGAGCTGACTTCTCTTTCAGTGGAGTCACCTGCCAGAAACAACACTCACATTAGGACAACATACTGACACGTGGCAGAGCGATGGAGTTTGTTTACTGACCGCTCCAACGTTCTTCAGGGCGGCCGTCATGGAGATGGCTTCAGCAGCAGCAGCAGCGTCTGGCTGAGAGGTCTGAGGAGGATCTGATGAAGACGATGATGATGAAGCTACGTGTCCTGCTGCAGCGACGCCAGGCTTCACCCCCCGAGCTGCGAGCTGCACCAACACAGAGGACCCAGGGTTAGACGTGAAGCAAAGCGCGGGCGAGGTGATGGACGCCTCTTTGCACTGGCTTTTAACGCTAGTTGAACCTGACATTTCTATATGTTTCTACTTATTGTGCTTTTTAATTATTGTTTTATTATTTTACTCCCATTGTGTTATTTTACTATACGATAATACTTTAAAGGTCAGATCAGGTCTGAAATGCTCCTGGCATCCCAGCAGCTCCATGTGTAACATCAACAGACAAACATCAACACACACGAGAAACAAACAACAACATGGAACATCACAGCAGCATCAGAGAGAGATGCTCAGAGAGCCTTCAGCGTGCATCTGATCTGTAGCTCTGTGTTCACTGAGAGGACTGTCTGGAGCACAGAGGATGCTTCAGGCTGTCTGGAGCACAGAGGATGCTTCAGGCTGACTGGAGCACAGAGGATGCTTCATGCTGACTGGAGCACAGAGGATGCTTCAGGCTGGAGCACAGAGGATGCTTCAGGCTGACTGGAGCACAGAGGATGCTTCAGGCTGGAGCACAGAGGACGCTTCAGGCTGACTGGAGCACAGAGGATGCTTCATGCTGACTGGAGCACAGAGGATGCTTCAGGCTGGAGCACAGAGGATGCTTCAGTCTGTCTGGAGCACAGAGGATGCTTCAGGCTGACTGGAGCACAGAGGATGCTTCAGGCTGACTGGAGCACAGAGGATGCTTCAGGCTGACTGGAGCACAAGAGGATGCTTCAGGCTGACTGGAGCACAGAGGATGCTTCAGGCTGACTGGAGCACAGAGGATGCTTCAGGCTGACTGGAGCACAGAGGATGCTTCAGGCTGACTGGAGCACAGAGGACGCTTCAGGCTGACTGGAGCACAGAGGACGCTTCAGGCTGACTGGAGCACAGAGGACGCTTCAGGCTGACTGGAGCACAGAGGATGCTTCAGGCTGACTGGAGCACAGAGGATGCTTCAGGCTGACTGGAGCACAGAGGATGCTTCAGGCTGACTGGAGCATAGAGGACGCTTCAGGCTGACTGGAGCACAGAGGATGCTTCAGGCTGTCTGGAGCACAGAGGACGCTTCAGGCTGACTGGAGCACAGAGGACGCTTCAGGCTGACTGGAGCACAGAGGACGCTTCAGGCTGACTGGAGCACAGAGGACGCTTCAGGCTGACTGGAGCACAGAGGACGCTTCAGGCTGACTGGAGCACAGAGGATGCTTCAGGCTGACTGGAGCACAGAGGATGCTTCAGGCTGACTGGAGCACAGAGGACGCTTCAGGCTGACTGGAGCACAGAGGACGCTTCAGGCTGACTGGAGCACAGAGGATGCTTCAGGCTGTCTGGAGCACAGAGGATGCTTCAGACTGGAGCACAGAGGATGCTTCAGGCTGGAGCACAGAGGATGCTTCAGGCTGACTGGAGCACAGAGGATGCTTCAGGCTGACTGGAGCACAGAGGATGCTTCAGGCTGACTGGAGCACAGAGGATGCTTCAGGCTGTCTGGAGCACAGAGGATGCTTCAGGCTGACTGGAGCACAGAGGATGCTTCAGGCTGGAGCACAGAGGATGCTTCAGGCTGACTGGAGCACAGAGGATGATTCAGGCTGACTGGAGCACAGAGGATGATTCAGGCTGTCTGGAGCACAGAGGATGCTTCAGGCTGACTGGAGCACAGAGGATGCTTCAGGCTGTCTGGAGCACAGAGGATGCTTCAGACTGGAGCACAGAGGATGCTTCAGGCTGGAGCACAGAGGATGCTTCAGGCTGACTGGAGCACAGAGGATGCTTCAGGCTGACTGGAACACAGAGGATGCTTCAGGCTGACTGGAGCACAGAGGATGCTTCAGGCTGACTGGAGCACAGAGGATGCTTCAGGCTGTCTGGAGCACAGAGGATGCTTCAGGCTGACTGGAGCACAGAGGATGCTTCAGGCTGTCTGGAGCACAGAGGATGATTCAGGCTGACTGGAGCACAGAGGATGCTTCAGGCTGTCTGGAGCACAGAGGATGATTCAGGCTGTCTGGAGCACAGAGGATGCTTCAGGCTGACTGGAGCACAGAGGATGCTTCAGGCTGTCTGGAGCACAGAGGATGCTTCAGGCTGTCTGGAGCACAGAGGATGATTCAGGCTGACTGGAGCACAGAGGATGCTTCAGGCTGTCTGGAGCACAGAGGACGCTTCAGGCTGGAGCACAGAGGATGATTCAGGCTGACTGGAGCACAGAGGATGCTTCAGGCTGGAGCACAGAGGATGCTTCAGGCTGTCTGGAGCACAGAGGATGCTTCAGGCTGACTGGAGCACAGAGGATGCTTCAGGCTGACTGGAGCACAGAGGATGCTTCAGGCTGACTGGAGCACAGAGGATGCTTCAGGCTGGAGCACAGAGGATGATTCAGGCTGACTGGAGCACAGAGGATGATTCAGGCTGTCTGGAGCACAGAGGATGCTTCAGGCTGGAGCACAGAGGATGATTCAGGCTGACTGGAGCACAGAGGATGATTCAGGCTGACTGGAGCACAGAGGATGCTTCAGGCTGACTGGAGCACAGAGGATGCTTCAGGCTGTCTGGAGCACAGAGGATGCTTCAGGCTGTCTGGAGCACAGAGGATGATTCAGGCTGTCTGGAGCACAGAGGATGCTTCAGGCTGACTGGAGCACAGAGGATGCTTCAGACTGACTGGAGCACAGAGGATGCTTCAGGCTGTCTGGAGCACAGAGGATGCTTCAGGCTGGAGCACAGAGGATGCTTCAGGCTGTCTGGAGCACAGAGGATGCTTCAGGCTGACTGGAGCAGAGAGGATGCTTCAGGCTGACTGGAGCACAGAGGATGCTTCAGGCTGTCTGGAGCACAGAGGATGCTTCAGGCTGACTGGAGCACAGAGGATGCTTCAGGCTGTCTGGAGCACAGAGGATGCTTCAGGCTGACTGGAGCACAGAGGATGCTTCAGGCTGTCTGGAGCACAGAGGATGCTTCAGGCTGTCTGGAGCACAGAGGATGATTCAGGCTGTCTGGAGCACAGAGGATGCTTCAGGCTGACTGGAGCACAGAGGATGCTTCAGGCTGTCTGGAGCACAGAGGATGCTTCAGGCTGACTGGAGCACAGAGGATGCTTCAGGCTGACTGGAGCACAGAGGATGATTCAGGCTGACTTCATTGATCTCCATCAGATGCAGTTCAGATTCTCTGTCAGAGCATGCTTTGGGTCCAGAGGATGCTGCTGGAGCCTCTCAGGTTATTATGGTCTGTGAGTCAGGAAGTCTCTGACAGGGTGACCAACTGTCTGTGAGCAGATTTCTAACAGGTGGAGCAGGTTAGATTTTAAAGCCGTTGTCAAACACTTGTACCAGGTAGTGTTGCTGTACTGCAGAACAGACACATCTGTAAGGGAAACTTCTGCAGCAATGGAGAGTCAGGACTCAGAGAGACACGAGGAGGGTCGGAGCTTTGATGTCAAACACTGGTGTTTATTACAAGTATCGGCCGGAGAAATTCACATCACAAGTCACACAGCCAGAGGTTCTGACTGCCCGGTGGGTTGCCATGTCAAAATCTGACCAGCCTCTCTCTCGATAGACCTTTTAACTAGCTTACAGAGAGTTAAACCACATATTGGGGGGCTGACGTAAACATTCTGGGAACACTGGAGATAGCCCCAACATCTGGAGACACTGAATCACCTGTCTGTGGTGCGTAGAAGCCAGCGTTCTCACAGTCATAAAACCCTCTGTGCCCGGTCATAAAAACTGGTAATATCAACAATAGCTGAAACTTCCCATTCCTTAAGACAGATAACAGACTCAGGGTTGGTCGTAAATGTCAACACACAGAAAAGGTTAGACTCCTAGGAGTAAGACAGAATTAATCCCCAACAACAATCACAGATGTAAAGAACAACAGAAGAATTTCTCTGCTCGCCCCAAAAGACCTCAGACGGCAGAAAAGTCAGATTTTTGAGAAAAAGTCAGATTTTTGAGAGAAATACCAACAAATTATCTTTTTTAGTTTTGACTACTTCCATTCTTGAGAAGATAATAAATACATGGATCCTGATATTGAAGCTCAAGCCGGAGACCAGGGAGATTTTTCTAACAAAAATAAAATAGCATTAAAAAATATGTTCTAGTTATTGTGCTATATATTCAATTTGGTCTTTCCATGACAGCAGATGGTCAATCTATATATCTATATATTGTATTTGTTCCCTGTACTGCACTCTGGTCAACGTGGGTTGTTTTTAAATGTGCTGTATAAATAAATGTGATTGATTGATAGATAAAGATGGAGATTGATGGATCTTACGTGCTCCTCCCAGGCTCTCTTCTCCCTCTCCAGCGCCTCCACCCTCTTCTTCTCCAGCTGCTCTCTCAGCACAGCAGCTCGAGTGTTAGCTTGAGCCTGACGGGAGGAGAAGCACAAGCAAAAGATCGTTTTTAAAGTAATAGCTCCATCTATTAAGCACAGTGATTTCATTAGCTTAAGTTATGGGAAAGAGCGCCGGTCAAAAAGCTTTATTCCTATAAGTCTTCCGGCTTCAATGTGACATATTAATGTAATCCTCCTCACTTTTAGCGCCTCGATCTTCCTTCTCTTGAGCTCGGCATCCTCGCTGGACTCCTGGCTGTCTGACCCGTCGCTGTCGTACTGAAACACAACAACAACAACAATAACAACAACACAGGAGAGGAAACGTCAGAAAACTCCCATTGCACCGTATCACTGCACTGGTTACCGGCGTCCTTCAGAATTCATTTTAAAGTGCTTTTAATGACTTGCAAGGCTTTACTTAACCTCGCCCTTAAACATATGTAAGTGACTCTCATTATCGACCTGCAAGGATTTTTGAGAAAAATCCTGAATTTTTTGAAAATGTCAGAATTCTCTTTTTTTGTTTTGACTAAAAATTGAAGCTCAAGCCGGAGACCACTGAGAAATAAAATAGCATGACAAATTGTTAAATGTGGAAATATAAATGTACAGTAACAAAATATAAAGCAGATGTTCACCTTCTCTCCTCTGAGCCGGGCTTTGATCTGCTGACGCTCGTTGAAGTTCTGCAGGCGGATCTGCCTCAGTCTGGATAGATACTCCTGAGGACACAGAGAGAGTCTCAGTCTGGAGAGACACTCCTGAGGACACAGAGAGAGCCTCAGTCTGGAGAGATACTCCTGAGGACACAGAGAGAGCCTCAGTCTGGAGAGATACTCCTGAGGACACAGAGAGAGTCTCAGTCTGGATAGATACTCCTGAGGACACAGAGAGAGTCTCAGTCTGGAGAGATACTCCTGAGGACACACAGAGAGTCTCAGTCTGGAGAGATACTCCTGAGGACACACACAGAGTCTCAGTCTGGAGAGATACTCCTGAGGACACAGAGAGAGTCTCAGTCTGGACAGATACTCCTGAGGACACACAGAGAGTCTCAGTCTGGAGAGATACTCCTGAGGACACACAGAGAGTCTCAGTCTGGAGAGATACTCCTGAGGACACAGAGAGAGTCTCAGTCTGGATAGATACTCCTGAGGACACACAGAGAGTCTCAGTCTGGAGAGATACTCCTGAGGACAAACAGAGAGTCTCAGTCTGGAGAGATACTCCTGAGGACACACAGAGAGTCTCAGTCTGGAGAGATACTCCTGAGGACACACACAGAGTCTCAGTCTGGAGAGATACTCCTGAGGACACAGAGAGAGTCTCAGTCTGGAGAGATACTCCTGAGGACACACAGAGAGTCTCAGTCTGGAGAGATACTCCTGAGGACACACAGAGAGTCTCAGTCTGGAGAGATACTCCTGAGGACACAGAGAGAGTCTCAGTCTGGAGAGATACTCCTGAGGACACAGAGAGAGTCTCAGTCTGGAGAGATACTCCTGAGGACAACAGAGAGAGTCTCAGTCTGGAGAGATACTCCTGAGGACACACAGAGAGTCTCAGTCTGGAGAGATACTCCTGAGGACACACAGAGAGTCTCAGTCTGGAGAGATACTCCTGAGGACACAGAGAGAGTCTCAGTCTGGAGAGATACTCCTGAGGACACACAGAGAGTCTCAGTCTGGAGAGATACTCCTGAGGACACACACAGAGTCTCAGTCTGGACAGATACTCCTGAGGACACACAGAGAGTCTCAGTCTGGAGAGATACTCCTGAGGACACACAGAGAGTCTCAGTCTGGAGAGACACTCCTGAGGACACACAGAGAGTCTCAGTCTGGACAGATACTCCTGAGGACACAGAGAGAGTCTCAGTCTGGAGAGATACTCCTGAGGACACAGAGAGAGTCTCAGTCTGGATAGATACTCCTGAGGACACAGAGAGAGTCTCAGTCTGGATAGATACTCCTGAGGACACAGAGAGAGTCTCAGTCTGGATAGATACTCCTGAGGACACACAGAGAATCTCAGTCTGGATAGATACTCCTGAGGACACACACAGAGTCTCAGTCTGGAGAGATACTCCTGAGGACACAGAGAGAGTCTCAGTCTGGATAGATACTCCTGAGGACACAGAGAGAGTCTCAGTCTGGATAGATACTCATGAGGACACAGAGAGAGTCTCAGTCTGGATAGATACTCCTGAGGACACAGAGAGAGTCTCAGTCTGGATAGATACTCCTGAGGACACAGAGAGAGTCTCAGTCTGGATAGATACTCCTGAGGACACAGAGAGAGTCTCAGTCTGGAGAGATACTCCTGAGGACACACAGAGAGTCTCAGTCTGGATAGATACTCCTGAGGACACAGAGAGAGTCTCAGTCTGGAGAGATACTCCTGAGGACACAGAGAGAGTCTCAGTCTGGATAGATACTCCTGAGGACACAGAGAGAGTCTCAGTCTGGATAGATACTCCTGAGGACACACAGAGAGTCTCAGTCTGGAGAGATACTCCTGAGGACACACAGAGAGTCTCAGTCTGGATAGATACTCCTGAGGACACAGAGAGAGTCTCAGTCTGGAGAGATACTCCTGAGGACACACAGAGAGTCTCAGTCTGGAGAGATACTCCTGAGGACACACAGAGAGTCTCAGTCTGGAGAGATACTCCTGAGGACACAGAGAGAGTCTCAGTCTGGAGAGATACTCCTGAGGACACACAGAGAGTCTCAGTCTGGAGAGATACTCCTGAGGACACACAGAGAGTCTCAGTCTCAGCAGCATGGATGTAAAATGTGAGAAGCTTCATAATAATCTAAAGGCGTTTCCAAGATCTAACGGTTCCAGTTGGACTTCTTTAGCAACTTCTGCCTATAGTTGTTTTTAAATGAATCATTTGCTATTATTTTGTACACATGATTATAAAATGGTTCAATGTGAAGTCAAATCTTATATTTCTAAGTATGAAGAACCCCTAAACCTCAATGTAATGCTTCCAAGTCTTCAACCACTTTAGGGAACACACTGGTGGTCAAAATACTACACAAATATAAAAGTTGCACCAAAAATAAATTCAAAAGATCGTAATTTTTCGTGGCTTTTTTTTTTTATTCTACCGGTTCCAGTTGGACTTCATGAGAACATTCTGTCTGAAGTTGTTTTTAAAATGGTGTATAACTCTAGCTTTCCCACACATGATTATAAAAAGGGTTCAAAATAATGTGAAATCTCATATTTCCAATTGAAAATATGAAATGTTCTTGTAGGAAGAACCCCCTAATCCTCGAGTCAATGCTTCTTAGTCTCCAGCAACTCGTTGTGTTACTCTTGTGTTTTGGTACTTCTTGAAAACCAGCTGAGTTTATCCTGAGATAATTACACTCCTTAAAAACAGTATTATATGAACGTATGAATGTACGTTAACACGTTAACACGTCACTGCAGTAACAAGATAAACATCCAATCCACAGCGAACACAAAGCAGGAGGAGTGGTTATTACAATGGGACAACAAACAAACAATAACAATGGGCTCACAGCTGTGATCAATAACAGCCAAAATAATAACCAACATGTCACAGCGCTCGGTGTGCAGGGAGGGGTCATGAGGGCGAGATGCAGGGGTGCATTATGGGAGTTTAGTTCAGAAGGATCATCATTTCACTTAATTTTAAAATAATTATAGTTTTATCTTCATGTTTCTGCATTCAAGTTACAAATGGTTGTTATTGATAATTCATTGTGTAGTGGTTGCTTTTCTCCATGATATTTACTCGACATTTCCTCAATATTTCCTCAATATTTCCTCGACGTTTCCTCGACATTTCCTCAATATTTACTCGACGTTTCCTCGACGTTTCCTCAATATTTACTCTACGTTTCCTCTATATTTCCTCGACGTTTCCTCAATATTTCCTCGACGTTTCCTCGACGTTTCCTCAATATTTCCTCTACGTTTCCTCTATATTTCCTCGATATTTCCTCGACGTTTCCTCAATATTTACTCTACGTTTCCTCTATATTTCCTCGACGTTTCCTCAATATTTCCTCGACGTTTCCTCAATATTTCCTCTACGTTTCCTCAATATTTCCTCGACGTTTCCTAGATATTTCCTCAATATTTACTCTACGTTTCCTCGACGTTTCCTAGATATTTCCTCTACGTTTCCTCAACATTTCTTCAATATTTACTCTACGTTTCCTCTATATTTCCTCGATGTTTCCTCTACGTTTCCTCTACGTTTCCTCGACATTTCCTCTATATTTCATCAATATTTACTCTACGTTTCCTCGACCTTTCCTAGATATTTCCTCTACGTTTCCTCAACATTTCCTCAATATTTACTCTACGTTTCCTCTATATTTCCTCGATGTTTCCTGGATGTTTCCTCGACGTTTCCTCTATATTTCCTCAATATTTACTCTACGTTTCCTCGACCTTTCCTCTACGTTTCCTCGACATTTCCTCGACGTTTCCTAGATATTTCCTCTACGTTTCCTCAACATTTCCTCAATATTTACTCTACGTTTCCTCTATATTTCCTCGATGTTTCCTCTACGTTTCCTCGACCTTTCCTCGACATTTCCTAGATATTTACTCGACATTTCCTCAATATTTCCTCTACGTTTCCTCAACGTTTCCTCGACATTTCCTCGACGTTTCCTCGACGTTTCCTCTACGTTTCCTCAATATTTACTCGACATTTCCTCAATATTTACTCGACATTTCCTCAACGTTTTCTTGTCAGCTGGATTGTTCTCGTTGTGTTTCCCATGTGTGATTTGGTGCTTCTTGAAAACCTTGTCCTGAGATAATTAAGCTCCTTCTACGAGACAACACTTCACCCAGAACACGGTACGATGATAGCTTCAACACGTCAGCCAGAATAAAATATAAATCCTGCAGCAAACGATAAAGATGAACATCCAATCCACAGCGAACACAAAGCAGGAGGAGTGGTTATAAAAATGGGACAACAAACAAACAATAACAATGGGCTCACAGCTGTGATCAATAACAGCCAAAATAATAAACATCATGTCACAGCGCTCGGTGTGCAGGGAGGGGTCATGAGTTGAGATGCAGGGGTGCATTATGGGAGTTTGTCGACTCCTACCTCCTCCTCCCGGTTGGCTCTGGGCCTCCTGAAGCGGATCGAGCCCCCCCGGCTCCCGTACGTCGCTGCCAGGTTTTGCCGCGTTCCCTGTTCACCGTTTCATTTCATTTAACCACATTTAAAACATCGTGCCAAAACCTACTTTGGATGAGTGGATTGACATCGGTTGTGATATGTTTGAGATGGAAAGGATAACCCTCGCTTTGAGGGAATGTTTTTGTGGAGATGGGAAAAGTGGATAATATATGTTACGACCATCATTCGTCTAGAAGGGATTTGTATGTCTTTTGTTCTATGCCCCCTGTTTGAATAGGTTGCAGGTACCCCCCCATAACCCTGCTGGTGATTATGTTCGTACTGTATGTTAGCGCGTGTTTGAAGGTCAGTGAGGCCTCTGATTATCCACTAATATGTATGTTTGATTTGTGATTTCACTGTTAACTACAGAAGGCTTACAGAGAAGATTGTATTGTCTATGATTGTATGTGAAAAGCTGAATAAAAAAACATCGTGCCGTCACAGTAAGGGGTCAGGAGCTAACGGCCATCCATTATCACAGCATGTACATTCAATATAGTGATGTTTAAAGCTGGCTGCCTGTAAACACATGTAACGTCTTATTACTCGTGAGTCTCAGCGTGGAGTTGGACCTGAATCACAGACATCCTGGGGCTTTATAAACATGTCTGATCCGGCTCGAGCTGCAAAATCTCAACAAGTCAAAGGTCTTTTTAAACTTAACCCACAACAACCCGGACCCATTTCTACTTTAGGGGAAATGATGGGACATCTTGGACATGTAATTATGGGAACCCAAAGTCACATGACCTGGCCTATGACCCAGCAGACTGTTCAGCGTGAGTCACTTAAGGACTTCATGAGATCAAATAAAGGCTAACAGCTGTATACGGAACCTTCCAGAACACTGAAATGTCTCATGGGTTAAATGTGACCGGTTTCTCTCAGCATGTGCCCTTAACATCTCTTTATAAGTGTCTGTACGTACCAGCTGTCCCTCGGCTCGCACCTTGTTGAGCATGGCTTCTCTCTTCCTCTGCAGAAACTCTTCCACCTGATAGGCCCGTCCTGCAGCCATGTGACCCCGAGACCTGAACACACAACAAGGGTCATCAGTACTGTCAACACTATGGAATCAAGGGCAACTACATGCACTAAAATGCCTTAAGTTTCCCTCAAGTGTTACACTTAATGTACTGCAGCAGCTTAACAGCAGATTCAAAGCTATTAAGGTTCATACGGGAGCATGTGCTTGATGTAGTCACACGAGTGATAGTTATATATTCACAAAGCTGGCCTTTAGAGAGTTGAATTTTAAGTAAACCAAATAACTCATGGGAGGAAAGAGTTATACTTCAGCAGGAATACAATAAAACAAAGCACTAAAAAAGCCAATAGGAATCAGACAGACGCAACGATTGTTAATTCAAAGTCTGTAGGTAGAAAAGACTTTGGTAAGTGTGGAATTGTATGGATTTAATGGAAGTAAAATATTTAAGATAAGGATCAAATAAACTGGAGTGAGGGTTTTTATGGAAAAAGACTTAAAGACTTCTTTAGAGCACCCGTTTTCTTCTAATGAAGCCTCAACCCGTGTTTTGTTTGGATCAGGGCGCTGTCACTGACCGGCTGATGTGAGCAGCTTTAGAGTCGTGCTGCAGACGCTGCAGTTCCCTCTTGATGGCGTCCGGGTTCAGGACCCGGGCCGGGCTGCTGGGCAGAACCGGGCCTGCAGCCGCCGGGACCCTGCAGGGGACCAGAAGACACACAGATCTCCTTAAATACAGGGATGGGGCTGTACAGGATATCAGCTTTTATATTCAGTGTGCATGTTTTGATTTGAAATAACTGCCATGTGTGGAATAAACACAAAAATAAAGGTGAACACAGAGTCCCTGAACGCACCGTGCCGGGCTGCCTGGTGCCGGGCTGCCTGGTGCCGGGCTGCCTGGTGCCGGAGACGCTCCTCTCATCTGGTCCAGCAGCAGCGTGGTAGTGTTCGTACGGAGTTTTACTGGGAAGGTAACCCGGACCGGCCCACTGCCCCCCCCCTGCAAAACACTGAGGAGGAGCACAGGAGGAGGTGAGCACAACACTGAGGAGGAGCCCAGGAGGAGGTGAGCACAACACTGAGGAGGAGCCCAGGAGGAGGTGAGCACAACACTGAGGAGGAGCCCAGGAGGAGGTGAGCACAACACTGAGGAGGAGCCAGGAGGAGGTGAGCACAACACTGAGGAGGAGCACAGGAGGAGGTGAGCACAACACTGAGGAGGAGCCCAGGAGGAGGTGAGCACAACACTGAGGAGGAGCCCAGGAGGAGGTGAGCACAACACTGAGGAGGAGCCCAGGAGGAGGTGAGCACAACACTGAGGAGGAGCCCAGGAGGAGGTGAGCACAACACTGAGGAGGAGCCCAGGAGGAGGTGAGCACAACACTGAGGAGGAGCCCAGGAGGAAGTGAGCACAACACTGAGGAGGAGCCCAGGAGGAGGTGAGCACAACACTGAGGAGGAGCCCAGAGGCCTGTTCTACGAAGCCGGTTCAACCTAACCTGGATATGTTTGAGTTAGCCGGTTGGCCTAATCCAAAACATACGCGCTCTCGCTAAGCGGTCCTACGACGAGGGTTATCAAGTGGATCGCTCAAGCCAGCCGTGTCCTATCTAGTTAGGTGTTCACATGAGAGGGGTGGTATCTGGAGCATTCGACCAATCACAGACATGGAGAAGCGCACTGACAGCGCAGCGTCATACTTCCTGAATGAAAAGTCAACTCTAATATTAGACATATGAAGAAGTTAAACTTTAAACATCCATGACTTAAACACTTGATCCAGGATCAAAGCCACAGAGCTGCACCTGCAAGGTGAACACAGCTGGGAACAGAACAAGTGTTTGAATGCGTACATTAACAGCTTTATGATATCACTGCCCGTCTAAGACACCATCTGACTTTCATTACATTTGACTCCAGTGTTTCCTCAACTTAATGTGTTGCTTCAAATAATGCTTCTGCATCCAGTCTGTGACGCTGTGAGTGTTGCACGGCCAGATACGGCTCAGCTGACTCAGATCAGGAGATGATACATTATGAAGTGATATGGACTGTACTTAATGTGACTCTGATCCGGTTACTTATGTTGTGGCAGATATTTCAGTAAGCTTTCTTAACGCTAATGTTATAATAGTCAGATTGCTCTGAAGATGGAGCTGATATTCTATTCATGTTCACGTTCACACAGTCGCTGATTGTTGCCGGCCGTCTTTCCTGCGACGGCAGCTTTTCTGTATTTCCTTTCTCCTGTAATATGACTTGATCGCTTTAAACTCCGCACACTGAGCTCTGATTGGTCAGCAGGCGGTGCTTTCACTGAGTTGAGCTCTTAGCCTGCAACCTAACCTGCTCCGGAGCAGGTTAGCCGCTCAGCATCAGTTACCATGGAGATCTAGCCGCTAAGAAGAGAACCAGCGTCGTAGGACCGGAAACCCAGAGTTAACCTGAAGTTAGCCGCTAAGAGAACATCAGGCTTCGTAGTACAGGCCTCTGGAGGAGGTGAGCACAACACTGAGGAGGAGCCAAGTATACAAATATACATAACTTTGAAATTCTGAAATGTTTCAAAATTCTGACTTTAATAAAATACCTTAATTCTGACTTTTCTCATAAAATCTTGAAATTCAGCTTTTTTTCAGAAAATCTCTAAAATGTTGACTTTTTTTCTCAAAATTAGGACTTTTTTCAGAAAATCCTAATCTTTTTGTTAAAATCTCAAAATTCTGACTTTTTTCCCATAAAATCTTAAAAATCAGATTTTTTTTCTTAAAATCTCAAAATTCTGACTTTTTTTCTTAAAATCTCTAAATTCTTTTGGACGTGGCAAATGGAGCTGCTGCGATGTAAGAAACATCACAGCCTTGATCTGAGACTGAGGTATTATTCTGGTCTTGTCTCGTAGGTGGAGTTCAGGTGAAGGCGACGATGGGATAATGATCAGGTGCTCCAGTACCTTCCTCTCGGGGCTGCTGCCTCCACTGGAGCTCAGCACGTGTCTCCAGCCCTGCTCTCTGGCCTGGTTTATCCGGTTTATCTGTTAGAAGATCACAGGTTCATCATTACTTCACTTTAAGGACATTTATCCGTTCAGATGCCCCCTACCACCTGTTGACAAATAAAGACAAATAACCAAGAAACCACAGAATCTTTTTTAATACAAAAGCTGTTTCAATAATTAGCTTGAAGTATTTAGTTTACCTAATTTGTGAAAAATGTTCAACAATTCTGAAACTCAATTAGGTAAAGTATTGTAATAAATAAAGAATGTTGACGAATCACCCACCTTTTCCTTTTCATATCTCTTCATCTGCTCCGCTTTAAACAGGATCATCTGAGAGGGAACAATGACACATATCAGTAAGAGCTGCACACGTTCATATTCCCAAGCAAAACTAGTACATGCATTTGTATATTCTCTGATCCCAGCCTCTCCTATAGGGCTGGGCAAAATATCATTATCTATATTGTGATAAAAGACCACACATCGAGAAACTCCCTCTGGAGGGAACAGGGAGGGATTTGAGCATTTAGAGACCATTTACATGCACTAAAACCAATAGAACCCAGAACAGGAGGGAGCAACCACCGAAAGCAGAACAGGGCCTCTTTGAATGTTTAACAGACACACATTGAGCCAGATTACTCGCTAATAAAATCCCCCTTTCTTTTTTAAACCTCACCCAGTTAAACCCACCTGCTCTCTCTGTTTCCTCTCCCTCTCGATCAGCTCCATCCTCTTCCTCCTCATGCCGTCCTGAAACGTTAAAGCAACTGTGTAGTGAGGAGGTTACACATCAGGCAGAACACGGAGAATGGTGGGTTACGTATTGTAACCCTAGTTATATCTCACACAGGCTCCGCCCTCTACTGGGTACTACTCTCATCAATGATACGCGAGCGTTCACACACTGAAGTTGTATAAACGTAGCCGGCCAATCAGGGCGAGCCTACCTGAATGCTCGCAGGCTCATTTATCCGATGGATAAACGCCCTGTCGTCCTACAACATCGACCCACCACACAGCCATACCACGCGTAGAGTGTGCACGGACCCCAGTGGGGAAGGCTCTCCCCGCCCGCCCATAGGCATGTGAAATGGCCACACCATCCCCAAAGCACACAAACAGCTGTTCAGTGCGCCTAATGGAAGCCGTGCGCCCCACATAACCTGCGAGCGCACGCACTGGGCAGAGGGGGTGCCATTTTGCCTCCCTGTCCCCAGTGTGGGGTGGAAGACTAAAGCCGTCTAACTGTATAGCCCTCGACCTGAACGAACTCCTTAGCTTCTTGGGAACAAAGGAGGGGTTCGGTCTGAGTGAAGTCAAGGCAAGCAGCAAAGCTGTTTTCAATGATAGCGCCTTCAGGAAGGAGAGCTCCAGAGGCTCAAATGGTTCTGTAACCAAAGCCTCGAGCACCAACGGCAGATCCCAAGATCCCATCACGGGGTGGATACATGCACCACTGGCCGCTGTCTCCTGACCCCCTGCAAAGAATGCGTCATCAGCGGTTGACTAAAGGCTGACCTGCCGCCAAATCCCTCATGGCAGGACGAGATGGCTGCTGATTACACCTTCACTGTAGAATGAGCCAGCCCCCAGTCCACCAGTATCTGTCAATAGGACAGAATAGAGCCCAACGTACAGGATAGAGGCTCTAGACTCCTTTATTCACACCATGGCTGGAATCCCAACCACTTCGTCCAGTGGCAGGCCGTTACGGCCGTAATAATGCCGTGACCATACTGACGGTGAAAGGCATGAATCGGAGCCATCACACTAGGCGAGATGTGTTTTCTGACAACACGCCGGCCATAATGTCCCTGCACCCGCATAGTGACAGCACTTCCTGCGGTTTATCACACACATGCACGCGCCCACCGGCTGCCTCCTTTACTGGAGTTACAACGTGGGCGGCGAGTGGCGAACCGTGTCTCACAATGGGTGCCCAGTTAACATCGTATGAAACAGATCTTGCCGAATTCAACGAGACATGAGGAAATGTGGGATTGTGGAGAGAAATGACTCTTACTCTGGGATGAATTCAATTGTTTTTATTAAACATTTGTCACACACATCACTTTTAATGACATTACAAGAAGAACTCCCCCTCGTGTCTTGGGTGGTGAGGCACACAGCTCTCGCCGCCGGGACGCTTCCTCCCACAGCCCGTCACTTCCGGGAGGACAGCCCACTCCACCCCGAAGCTCTCTATCGCCGCAGCGGAGGCCTGTCGGGATCGCGCAGCCTGTCCCCGCGGGTATTGAGCCGGTTCCCCAGGACCAGCCGAGGAGGTAGAGGGAGCAGCTGGAGCCATGGGTGCTCTAAACCGGCGCCTTTCCCTCCTCCTCACCGTGGTGCCGCGCTCTCCCCTTTGAGGAAGAGCCCGAGGCAGCATACGGCTAAGCTGCGACTTTTCTTCCTCCAAGCGTCTGAAACGCTGTGTGACCGATGAGATCGATCCAAAGAGCCCTTCCGTGGCTACGGGGGCCCCTAGGAGATCATCACGGTCCTTCCTGGAGGGAGCAGCGAGTCCCAGCCAGACGTGGCGTGATCCCACTGTGGCCAGGCACATTACACGGCCAGCTGCGGCGGCCACACCATGGATCAGATTATTCATCTGCCCAATGCTGCGGTCCAAATAATCGCTCCGATCTTGCGATGGCGAGGCGGGGGCGTCCTGCTGAGGAGTAATCAGCGAGACGCCCAACACCCCAAGATTATTCGCCGCTGCAGCCTCAGGGTGCTCTCGGTCACGAGGTAGCGGCTTTTTACCCTCCGCCCATCTGCTGCCTGTGGGAGCAGATGGGCTGCCAGGCTCTCATCAAGGGGGGGCACGCCGGGACACGCTGTGTCCGTGCGGCCCTGCACCCTGAGGATACCCACCATGCCAGCCACCGGAGCCTTCGTCCTCAGTGGCTGCCGCCACGAACCCTCCACACACTGCCAGATATCTGGCAGCGGGGGCGAACCGAAGGCTGGCTGCGCCGGGCGGATCGGGCCGTAGAACCCCTGGTGGAGGCGGCTCACCGGCTTCGGCGGCAGTGGTGGGGGGAGCGCTAGCCCTACATGCTCCGCCTCCATGTTCATCACCAGGGGGAAGTCCTGGCGGACAGACCTGGGCGGTGGACCCCGGACCCGAGAAGTCCTCGCCATCTTCCTCCCCGGCAAACGGAGCGCCTCGCATCGCAGGAATGGCGAATATAAAAGGAGTCGCCTCGACATCCTGGTCCCCAATCTCCACCACCTCGAGCTCAGCCTCGGTGTCATCGCCACGCGGTGAGGCGTAGCGGGTCCTGAAATAGTCCCACCGTTTCATGTCAGGCCCCAGACACAGGAAGCAGAGATGATGGGGATCCGCGCCCGCTATTAAGCCAGGGCACGAAGGACAGGCCTCCTGAGGTGGCGACTCCATGGAGCTGAGTTGCTTCTTCTTTAGGTGTTGTCTCGCTCGCTGAAGAGAAAAGGATGACAGTCAGGAGGCGTAGCCGCCTTATATACTGTGAGCCTGCGCGCATTCAGGTAGGCTCTCCCTGATTGGCCGGCTGCGTTTATACAACTTCAGTGTGTGAACGCTCGCGTATCATTGATGAGAGTAGTACCCATAGAGTCCAGTAGAGGGCGGAGCCTGTGTGAGATAGAACATGGAGCACATAGGGAACGAGAGGGGGAAAATAGAGAACACGGAGAATATGTAAAACATGGACAACATGAAGAAGATAGAGAACACGGAGCACATGAAGGTAGAGATCAGGCGTTATAGAATACTTTTTAGATTTCTAAAGCGCTTTTCCTTGAGCTCAAAGACGCTTTACATAAAATGATGAGGGTCTCAGTTGTACCTCATGTTTCTTCCTCTCTTCCTCCACGTGACTCACTCTCCTGGGGGGGGCTGCAGGGGGAGGGGCCTAAGCAACACATAACAGGGGGGGGATCAGAGTCTGCACACACACTATGATGGCAAAACACACACACAGGAGTGGCCTCTTCTCACGTATGAGCTCAATATCGAACAGTTTTTCGAGAGAGAACCAGAATGACAGTGAACTCACAGGTCTGTGTCTCACGGCTGGTTTCCTGTCTGCAGGTCTCTTGGCGGCGTCCTTCCTCACGGTTAAAGGCACTCCGTATTTACAGGCTGGTTTCGTGATCCTCTGAGCGGGGGGGATGGAGCCGGGGGTCGGACGCTTGGCTGGAAACACAAGGAACATATTTCAAGTCAAATCAAAGTCAACTTTATTGTCAATCTTTCAGTTTGTGTGTAGAGACAGAGAGATCGAAATACCAGTTCCCACAATCCGGAATACGGAAATATGTATATCCTACACACACACAATTGACTGAAGTTGTTTTTCAAGCTCCAACTCAGTATTAAAGGTCACCTATTATGCAACATGTGTCCCCTCTGTGTGAAGAGATTCTGAAACAGGAACATAGAACTCTCTTTTTGTCCTGATCCATCTTTATAAAAACCTGCGTGTCTGATTATATAAGGATGTGACCAGCATTTGACCCCGACGCTCTGTGAGGGGCGGGGCTCACACACAGCCCGGCGCTCTGTGAGGGGCGGGGCTCACACACAGCCAGGCGTGCTGTGAGGGGCGGGGCTTACACACAGCCAGGCGTGCTGTGAGGGGCGGGGCTCACTCACAGCCAGCGCGCTGTGAGGGGGCGGGGTTCACACACAGCCAGGCGTTGCTGTGAGAGGGGCGGGGCTCACACACAGCCAGGCGCTCTGTGAGGGGCGGGGCTCACACAGCCTGGCGCTGTGAGGGGCGGGGCTCACACACAGCAGGCGTGCTGTGAGGGGCGGGCTCACACACAGCCAGGCGTCTGTGAGGGGCGGGCTCACACACAGCCAGGCGCTCTGTGAGGGGCGGGGCTACACACAGCCGGCGCTGTGAGGGGCGGGCTCACACACAGCCAGGCGCTCTGTGAGGGGCGGGGCTCACACACAGCGGCGCGCTGTGAGGGGCGGGGCTCACCACAGCCAGGCGTCTGTGAGGGGCGGGGCTCACACACAGCCAGGCGCTCTGTGAGGGGCGGGGCTTACACACAGCCCGGCACGCTGTGAGGGGCGGGGCTCACTCACAGCCAGGCGTGCTGTGAGGGGCGGGGCTCACACACAGCCAGGCGCTCTGTGAGGGGCGGGGCTCACACACAGCCAGGCGCTGTGAGGGGCGGGGCTCACAACAGCCAGGCTCTGTGAGGGGCGGGGCTCACACACAGCCAGCGCTCTGTGAGGGGCGGGGCTCACACACAGCCCGGCGTGCTGTGAGGGGCGGGGCTCACCACAGCCAGGCGCTGCTGTGAGGGGCGGGGCTCACACACCGCCAGGCGCTGTGAGGGCGGGGCTCACCACAGCCAGCGCGCTGTGAGGGGCGGGGCTCACACACAGCCAGGCCTCTGTGAGGGGCGGGGCTCACCCACAGCCAGGCGCTGTGAGGGGCGGGGCTCACACACAGCCAGGCGCTCTGTGAGGGGCGGGGCTCACACACAGCCCGCGCTGTGAGGGGCGGGCTCACACACAGCCAGGCGCTCTGTGAGGGGCGGGGCTTACACACAGCCAGGCGCGCTGTGAGGGGCGGGGCTCACACACAGCCCGGCGCGCTGTGAGGGGCGGGGCTCACCCCAGCCAGGCGCTGTGAGGGGCGGGGCTTACAGACAGCCGGTCTGTGAGGGGCGGGGCTCACACACAGCCAGGCGCGCTGTGAGGGGCGGGGCTCACACCAGCCAGGCGTGCTGTGAGGGGCGGGGCTCACACACAGCCAGGCGCTGTGAGGGGCGGGGCTCACACACAGCCAGGCGTCTGTGAGGGGCGGGGCTCACAACAGCCAGGCTGTGTGAGGGGCGGGGCTCACACACAGCCCGACGCGCTGTGAGGGGCGGGGCTCACACAGCCAGGCGTGCTGTGAGGGGCGGGGCTCACACACAGCCAGGCGCTCTGTGAGGCGTGGGGCTCACACACAGCCAGCCACGCTGTGAGGGGCGGGGCTCACACACAGCCAGCCACGCGGTGAGGGGCGGGGCTCACACACAGCCAGGCGTGCTGTGAGGGGCGGGGCTCACACACAGCCAGGCGCTCTGTGAGGGGCGGGGCTCACACACAGCCAGCGCGCTGTGAGGGGCGGGGCTCACACACAGCCAGGCGCTGTGAGGGGCGGGGCTCACACACCAGGCGCTCTGTGAGGGGCGGGGCTCACACAGCCAGGCGTGCTGTGAGGGGCTCACACACAGCCAGGGGCGCTGTGAGGGGCGGGGCTCACACACAGCCAGGCGATCTGTGAGGGGCGGGGCTCAGACACAGGTGTTGTGAGGGGCGGGGCTCACACACAGCCCGACGCGCTGTGAGGGGCGGGGCTCACACACAGCCAGGCGTCTGTGAGGGGCGGGGCTCACACACAGCCAGGCGCTCTGTGAGGGGCGGGGCTCACACACAGCCAGGCGCTGTGAGGGTGGGGCTCACACACAGCCAGGCGCTCTGTGAGGGGCGGGGCTCACACACAGCCAGGCGTGCTGTGAGGGGCGGGGCTGTGAGGGGCGGGGGCTCACACACAGCCAGGCGCGCTGTGAGGGGTGGGGCTCACACAGCCAGGCGCTCTGTGAGGGGCGGGGCTCACACCAGCCAGGCGCTGCTGTGAGGGTGGGGCTCACACACAGCCAGGCTCTGTGAGGGGTGGGGCTCACACACAGCCAGCCACGCTGTGAGGGGCGGGGCTCACACACAGCCAGGCGTGCTGTGAGGGTTGGGGATCACACACAGCCAGGCGTGCTGTGAGGGGCGGGGCTGTGAGGGGCGGGGCTCACACACAGCCAGGCGTGCTGTGAGGGGCGGGGCTCACACACAGCCAGGCGTGCTGTGAGGGGCGGGGCTCACACACAGCCAGGTCAGGACACTCCGCGTGCAGCAGCCAAATGAATAATATAGAGACAAGCAGGAGACAACGTGTGACTTACTCGAGGGGAATTTGAAGTTAAATGGAAGTGGTTGCAAAACCTGAATACACATCTCGATTCTCCGGTGTGGGAATATTTTGGATTCATTCATTTGTTTAAAAAAGGTAGCAAGAAAAGCTAGCAATACGACCAATCTTAAACTGCACCTGAAACACAACCACCCCGTTCCGTTTCCCAGCTGGGAGCAAACACGGCAGCTGGAGATGGAGAGCCCCCACCTCCCCGACAGTTTGCTATGAAAGATGCATTTGCCCGACAATGCAAACACAAACACGATAGCACACAATGGCTGTAGGACTCACACACACTTGGCTGTTGTTTTAAGGAGGTTTTTTGCTTGTGAGACAATGTGTGCTCATATTTATTTATTTATATATAAATATTATATATTTTTTTACTACTGCATTTTCACTAATGCAATTGCGTGTTTTGGCCACAAGAGAGCGCTGTTTTCCAGCCCGAGTCTATTTAATGTATTGTTTTGGTTGGGTGTGATTTATTTAATACATTTTTTATAATTTTATTTATTTGTTATATATAATTTATATATTTACATTTGATTTCACATTCATTTGCAATGTTGAATGTTCAATAAAAGTTCTGTTGTCGTTTATCGCAATAATTTCTGGGAAAATGTATCGTCCAACAGAATGAATTATGGTGACCTAGTCACAATGTTTTTTTGGCTTGTGTAACCATTAGCCAGGGGTGGGTGGGTTATCGTGCTGGTTTCCCCCTCCCAAAGTAAAACCAGGAGAAACTCAAAGTCTCTAAATATGTTAACGATATTGATCGGAGCTGCTTCAGAGTAAAAGATGCTCTTAAGATTTAATGAAATGCAAAGAGAGGAACTTGCTTCACAGTCACGATGTGGATACTACCATCACCCCCCCCCCCCCCACATGTGTCCTACCTGCTGGTCCCGGCACCACGCCCACTTTAGGCTGCTTGTGAAGAAAATTATGGCGAAATTCCTGAGCGATGATCTGAAATCAGAGGAGAGAGAGAACATGATTTTATTTATACCAGCTTCATGTAAATCCAGTCCAAGTGTGTGTGTGTGTGTGTGTGTGTGTGTGTGTTGTGTGTGTGTGTGTGTGTGTGTGTGTGTGTGTGTGTGTGTGATACCTGTGGTGTGTGTACATGTGTGTGTTCGTATGAGAGTGCCTCTGTGTGTGAGTGTGTATCTCTGCGTGTGTGTGGTCCGTATGTGTGTGTGTGTGTGTGTGTGTGTGTGTGTGTGTGTGTACCTGAGGAGAGAGGAAGCTCTGGATCCTGTAACAGAGGAAGGGTTTCTCTGTGTGTGTGTGTGTGTGTGTGTGTGTGTGTGTGTGTGTGTGTGTGTGTGTGTGTACCTGAGGAGAGAGGAAGCTCTGGATCCTGTAACAGAGGAAGGGTTTCTGTGTGTGTGTGTGTGTGTGTGTGTGTGTGTGTGTGCGTGCGTGCGTGCGTGCATGTGTGTACCTGAGGAGAGAGAAAGCTCTGGATCCTGTAACAGAGGAAGGGTTTCTCTATGTGTGTGTGTGTGTGTGTGTGTGTGTGTGTACCTGAGGAGAGAGGAAGCTCTGGATCCTGTAACAGAGGAAGGGGTTCTGTGTGTGTGTGTGTGTGTGTGTGTGTGTGTGTGTGTGTGTGTGTGTGTGTGTGTGTGTGTGTGTGTGTGTACCTGAGGAGAGAGGAAGCTCTGGATCCTGTAACAGAGGAAGGGGTTCTGTGTGTGTGTGTGTGTGTGTGTGTGTGTGTGGTGTGTGTGTGTGTGTGTGTGTGTGTGTGTGTGTGTGTGTGTACCTGAAGAGAGAGAAAGCTCTGGATCCTGTAACAGAGGAAGGGGTTCTGTGTGTGTGTGTGTGTGTGTGTGTGTGTGTGTGTGTGTGTGTGTGTGTGTGTGTGTGTGTGTGTGTGTGTGTGTGTGTGTGTGTGTGTGTGTACCTGAGGAGAGAGGAAGCTCTGAATCCTGTAACAGAGGAAGGGCTTCTCCAGCACGCTGCTGACGGAGGGTCTCTCTCTCGGGCTGCGTCTGAACAGCAGGCCCAGCAGAGAGCGCAGGTCCTGGGAGTAATGCAGGGAGACGGGGGGGTAGGAGCCCCGGATGATCTTCAGAACCAGGTTCTTCATGTTGCCGGCCTCAAACTGAGCGGAGGAACACACGATGGTGACATGGGGAAATACTGAGGGCCATTATACACAGTAAAGGAATAAGGTAGGGGTTATTCAGGGAGAGGGGGAGGCATGAGAAGTGATTTTAAAGCAAAGAAAGTCTTCAAATCAGTTTTTGTGGCCTTGGATTTAAGGACATGTTCTGCCTTTCTATGTTTTATATTATATTACAGCGAAGACCTTTGGGTTCTAACAAGACAAAAGATATTTAAAGACCGTTTTCACAATTTTCTTACATTTTATAAACCGACGAATAATCTGGATGGAGAATGCACATTTTAAAAAGGTCCCCTAATCTGCAGAATCCACTACTTCTTGTCTTTTCTACATAAACATGTGTCCCCAAAATCATATATCACCTCCTTATTTCCTTTCTATGCAACATATGTGTTGCCACCTTAAATATCAGTGACTACATTTGAGAAATGGGGGGGGGGGGTAATTCCCCTGGAAGTCTGATAAAAACAGGGCTAATAATTTCCTGTGTGAAACGGAGCAAACGCAGGGCTGATGTTTGTATAATGAAACAGCCCTGTGCTGAGGTTAACCCTGGGTAAACCAGGTGTGTTTGCAACGGGATCAATAATCACAGGGCTGAGGACAGATGGCGTAAAGAACCCAGACTCAGCTAAACAACATGAAAGCTGCATAAAACACACAAACAGTACTTACTGCATGCTTAAGGGTGCACATTTCATACAGGACACACCCAAGGGCCCAAACATCACTGCAGAGGGAGGGGGGGGGAGACAAGGATCAGTTCAGGGAAGTTTTACATCAATCACAAACAGTCACTTATTATGCAATCCAAATATGTATACATGTCCATTCAAATGACCGTGAAATCAGTTTCAACAGTTACTTTATCACCTTCTTTTTGTATTATTATTTTTCTAGTGTATTTTAATCTTTATTTTTTCCCTCGTGTGAATCCTGTTTTCCCCTCTGACCTGTTGCTGATGTAAACGCCTGAATTTCCCCACGGGGATAAATAAACTTCCATCTCATCTTCTCTAATATCAATAATTGGAGAAAGTGGATTTTCCTGCACAGCAAACTGGGACACTGTGATGCGTACCGTAACTCAATCACTGTAAAGCAGAGTGGATTACCTGCACCATTACAGAGAGGAAATCAATAGTGGCTTCCTGCCGCACCTTCACTCCATACAGAGGAGACAGGATCTCTCTAAAGAGGCTTCAACTGATCCTCATGTTCGACTGGTATTAAATATTCATTAACGACACACACGATAACACACACACTCCACATGCTCTACCTCTTGTTGTTGTACGGTTTGTTCTCACAGATCTCAGGGGACAGGTAATACGGCGTGCCAATACACGTTCTGGCCAGCTCTACAGTGCTGGAGACAAGAAGAGAGTCATGGTTTATTACTCACACATATCGGCTTTGTAAAGATACGCAACATGAACTCAGAGTATGTGATTCCCAGGAGGCCATCTGGTCCTCTCGTGAAAGAAAAAAGCACTTTGAGTTAATTTAGGCCGTAACGAACTCACCAGCTCTTAATAGAGCGGTGCAGGGAGGACGTGTTTACCCTGAAGGAAGCTCCTGTTCCCTCGACTAAAAGCAACGGGATTTCTCCAGAGGGTTTTGGAATATTGTAAAAAAGAAAGTCTGTGGAAAACTGTTTGATAAACGTTTTGTTCAGCCGGATAATCTCCACATGTCTACTTTTATAAATCATAACTCTAATGTCCAGAAGCTAAATGCTAACGTGATGCTACAAAGGAGCTACAGCCGAGTCCAGCAGCACGACTTCAACGTCACGCCGACTTCAGATCCAGATTCAAACTCACAGACTCTAGATGGAACGAGTTGAAGCGTTTGTTTGAACAGTCTGCAGGAGGCAGGGACTTGCTTTCAAGCAGAACAGAAACTAACTTAGAGGAGTGTTCACGTGTTCGGCGTCATGACGTACAACGGCCTCCACGACTTCTGTAGTCCTATTCAGCCACTTGGTAACAACCATCGTTTCTCAGACACGTCCACTCTTCAGAAATCACCAGTGGGGTCACTGCTGATGATTTAATGTAGAACAAAACGTGACCCGTCTCTTCAATGCGTCTCAACCACAGACCTTAGTTCAGATACTTTCCAGAACCCTATGGAGAGATCCCATTGGCTCAGAGACCAGGGAACAGGAAGTGGTGAAAACCTTGAAGTGAATATATCTGCACTTTCCTTGTTGAGTTTGAATCGTTATGGTTTTTGCACTTACTGTAACTCTCTATGGATCAAAGCGATATGTGATGTGATTTCACAAACCTGTTGAGCACCCGTGCGATCCCAAAGTCTCCGAGCTGTACGGTCCCGTCTTTAGTCAGGAATATGTTCTGAGTGGACATAATGAAAGATAAATAAAGTATAACATAACCAACGTTAACTCAGTGGGGGGGGGTCCGGTAGTGGTACCTGTGATTTGATGTCCCTGTGGAGGATCTTCCGGTCGTGCACGTGCTTCAGAGCCAGGCAGATCTGCACAAACCAGTCCAGGACCTACCAGAGAGGAACAGTTACATGTTAAAGGGGACCTAATATTAAGAATCCTCTTCCTCATGTCTCTTCTTCATCAACATGTGTCCCCTCTTCTTCATGTCTCTTCTACATCAACATGTGTCCCCTCTTCTACATGTCTCTTCTACATCAACATGTGTCCCCTCTTCTCCATGTCTCTTCTACATCAACATGTGTCCCTCTTCTTCATTTCTCTTCTACATCAACATGTGTCCCCTCTTCTTCATGTCTCTCTACAATCAACATGTGTCCCCCTCTTCTTCATGTCTCTTCTACATCAACATGTGTCCCCCTCTTCTTCATGTCTCTTCTACATCACATGTGTCCCCTCTTCTTCATGTCTCTTCTACATCAACATGTGTCCCCTCTTCTTCATGTCTCTTCTACATCAACATGTGTCCCCTCTTCTTCATGTCTCTCTTCTACATCAACATGGTGTCCCCTCTTCTTCATGTCTCTTCTACATCAACATGTGTCCCCTCTTCTTCATGTCTCTTCTACATCAACATGTGTCCCCTCTTCTTCATGTCTCTTCTACATCAACACTGTGTCCCCTCTTCTTCATGTCTCTTCTACATCAACATGTGTCCCCTCTTCTTCATGTCTCTCTACATCACATGTGTCCCCTCTTTCATGTCTCTTCTTACATCAACATGTGGTCCCCTCTTCTTCATGTCTCTTCTACATCAACATGTGTCCCCTCTTCTTCATGTCTCTTCTACCAACATGTGTCCCCTCTTCTTCATGTCTCTTCTACATCACATGTGTCCCCTCTTCTTCATGTCTCTTCTTCATTACACATGTGTCCCCTCTTCTTCATGTCTCTCTCTTCTTCAACAACATGTGTCCCCTCTTCTTCATGTCTCTTCTTCATCAACATGTGTCCCCTCTTCTTCATGTCTCTTCTACATCAACATGTGTCCCCTCTTCTTCATGTCTCTTCTACATCAACATGTGTCCCCTCTTCTTCATGTCTCTTCTACATCAACATGTGTCCCCTCTTCTTCATGTCTCTTCTACATCAACATGTGTCCCCTCTTCTTCATGTCTCTTCTACATCAACATGTGTCCCCTCTTCTTCATGTCTCTTCTTCATTAACATGTCCCCGTCCCCTTTCTTCATGTCTCTTCTTCATCAACATGTGTCCCCTCTTCTTCATGTCTCTTCTTCATCAACATGTGTCCCCTCTTCTTCATGTCTCTTCTACATCAACATGTGTCCCCCTCTTCTTCATGTCTCTTCTACATCAACATGTGTCCCCTCTTCTTCATGTCTCTTCCACATCAACATGTGTCCCCTCTTCTTCATGTCTCTTCCACATCAACATGTGTCCCCTCTTCTTCATGTCTCTCTCAACATGTGTCCCCTCTTCTTCATGTCTCTTCTACATCAACATGTGTCCCCTCTTCTTCATGTCTCTTCTACATCAACATGTGTCCCCTCTTCTTCATGTCTCTTCTACATCAACATGTGTCCCCTCTTCTTCATGTCTCTTCTACATCAACATGTGTCCCCTCTTCTTCATGTCTCTTCTACATCAACATGTGTCCCCTCTTCTACATGTCTCTTCTACATCAACATGTGTCCCCTCTTCTTCATGTCTCTTCTACATCAACATGTGTCCCCTCTTCTTCATGTCTCTTCTACATCAACATGTGTCCCCTCTTCTTCATGTCTCTTCTTCATTAACATGTGTCCCCTCTTCTTCATGTTCTCTTCTTCATCAACATGTGTCCCCTCTTCTTCATGTCTCTTCTTCATCAACATGTGTCCCCTCTTCTTCATGTCTCTTCTACATCAACATGTGTCCCCTCTTCTTCATGTCTCTTCTACATCAACATGTGTCCCCTCTTCTTCATGTCTCTTCCACATCAACATGTGTCCCCTCTTCTTCATGTCTCTTCCCATCAACATGTGTCCCCCTCTTCTTCATGTCTTCTTCTACATCAACATGTGTCCCCTCTTCTTCATGTCTCTTCTACATCAACATGTGTCCCATCTTCTTCATGTCTCTTCTACATCAACATGTGGTCCCCCTCTTCTTCATGTCTCTTCTTCATTAACATGTGTCCCCTCTTCTTCATGTCTCTTCTACATCAACATTGTCCCCTCTTCTTCATGTCTCTTCTTCATCAACATGTTTCCCCTCTTCTTCATGTCTCTTCTTCATCACACATGTGTCCCCTCTTCTTCATGTCTCTTCTACATCAACATGTGTCCCCCTCTTCTCCATGTCTCTTCTACATCAACATGTTCCCCTCCCCTCTTCTTCATGTCTCTCTCTACATCAACATGTGTCCCCTCTTCTTCATGTCTCTTCTACATCAACATGTGTCCCCTCTTCTGTCGTCCATGTCTCGTTCTACATCAACATGTGTCCCGCTCTT